AATATTTAATATTTTATTATAATTAATCAAGTTCTGAATATTCTATTTTGAATAAGTTAAATCATTAAATATTTATTATCATCCAATTGATTTTTTAAATATTTATTTTTACTCAACTAAACCCTTGATTGAATAGAAACAATTAAACAAATTTCTTCTAATAAAAGCTTAATTGGTGAAAATAGATGTTAAAGGATTTATTGATTGCAAAAAATGACGGCTTGCATAATTATTAAATTTTAATTTAAGAAATTTTTTAACTCTTTTGCTTTGGTTTTTTTCATGAAATGATTGAGCTAATTAGAGCAAGGTGAAAAATGTGATATAGCAAGTGGCATGGAGAAGTGAAAACTAGCTTACTCTTTATTAATCATGCATGCAACGAGTTAGCACATATCTTTTGAAATATTGAAGGCATGACAAAATGTGGGAATTAATTAAGGAAATTAAATGTTTGAACTCATAGTTCGTATCAAATTAACCCTATTCTTCTAAATCAAATTTAGATTCATAGCCATAATTTGGATTTGGATTTGGTTCACTTGATTAGGTTTTAGCTACCTGAATTAATTTCATATTGTGTAAAAATCCTATTAGGTAATAGAAATGGTAGATTGCATAGATATAAGTGACTAGTTATTTTTTCTTTTAATTTCAAGTATGGGAAAATGGTGAAATGTACCTATTATAATACTTAATAACAAATAATCACAATGAATAATAATAATAATAATAATAATAATAATAATAAAGCACTTTTTACTGTAATTTCCATTTAATTTATTGTTTAAACAATTAAAAAATATAAAAATCTCAAATTTTCTTTTTCTTTTTATTTTAAACTTTGAATTTAAATATAAGTACTTAAATTTAAGATACAACATTAACACAATTAAAAAGTTATATATATATATTTATCATTTTATATACAATAGCTGATCTTTCAAATTTTTGATCAATTTATTTATCTATTGTTCTTCTTAGATATTTCTTTTTGATTGTTTGGGTATTAATTATATTTCATGCATGCAGAAAACAATTTACCTGTCGAATAAACATCTCCAATAACTTAATTAAAGTCCAACACCAACAATTAACTAAATTAATTTATTTTAAATAATAAACTAACCAAAAATTATGAATTGATTTTTTCTCTTCAACAAAAAAAAAAAAAAAAGCAAAGAGTTGAATATAATAATGTGAAGAAACAAGTTAGTACGAGCTAGTAGATCATATTTTGTTTGATAAAAAATGTGACTAGGAGTAAAAATCCTTAATTTATAAGATCAGTTTCCTAGATTGGCAGGCTTTTTTCTTTTTTTTTTTTGGAAGATTTTCTTATAAATCAATGTCGAACACATATAAATGCAAAATGTTAGAGGAAAAAATAGGGATACATAAAAAAAAAAATGAATAAATTGCCAGTAAACAGGCTCAAACATTCAGAATTGAATTGCAAAAATAATGTCTCAATTCTGCTATAACATGTTGTTCTTTCTACTCATAATTCTTTGGAAATCAACACTATTTAGTAACTGTGTCAACCAATCTTACCATATATCTGTTTAAAAACTATATCCACTTTCCAATTAAATTAACAGCAAAGCTTAATCTATAACTGAACTTTTCTCTCCATGCATATAGAGATGTAATCAAATATAGCTTTAAATGAATTGTTCGTGAATATATTTAATTTCTATTTGTTTATTATACTTAACAAATAATTTTAAATAATATTTTAATATTTGTTTAATAAACGAATCAAACACGAATAGAGATATGTTTTATTCATTTATATTCGTGAATAAATTCATTTAATATTTATGAACAAATTTAATAAATATATATTTATATTTTGTTTTTATTACTTCTAAGATAATTATTTTATGATTAAATGTCTTTTAACAAAAAAATAATTATAATTAATATTAATACATTAAAAAGTACACTTAAAATTTATTAAAAAATCTTCCATAATATTTTAAGATCATGTTTAATATACAAAATTATGATAAGATAAGATAATATTATATTATGAATAGGATTAGATTAAATAATATCATCTTATCTTATGTTTAATTGTGTAAGGATTAAAATAGGATAATCTATTTATCGGTCAAAATTATCCTTCCTTAAAATTTATATAATTTAAATTATTAATGTAATTGGAGGGCTAAGATTCAAGGCTGAAGAATCCCACTGTGGAGGGGAACTCAATCAGAAGAGTCCAGTGGGATTCAAAGATTGAATTCCTGTCCAAGGAGGAATTGGGATTGATCAGGAACTCCTGATCAATCCCTATAAAAGGGACCCTCCTGGGACAGATCAAGGACACACAGAAAACATTAAGCAAAGCTACTGATTTGAGAGAAAAGGAGGCGTATAGGAAGCTAAGAAAAGTTAGGAGTATTCTGGGAGTGAGGAAAAATTTTTAGAAATTTTTGGCAAAATTTTTTTTCTGGAAATTTCTGGGAAATTTCCAGAATCCGGCGAAAATTTCGGCGAAATTTGAATTTTCCGGCAACAATTCCGGCGAACATTGAAGTTTCCGGCGACCAGTCCAGTTTTCGGCGAAGAATCCCAGAAACCGGCGATATTCCGGCCAACTTCCGGCGAAATTTCCAGATTCCGACGAAAATTTCCAGAATCCGGCACCGGTGTTCTTCAGTTTCTAGAGAGAAGGGAGAGAAAAAGGAAGAAGAGAGAGAGGGGGAGGAGCGTTCTGCCGAAAAACGGAGGAAGGTGCCTTTTATACCCTCCCAAAACGACGTCGTTTTGGCCTTAAGTAACCCGAGGATCCGCGCGTTTTGCCGAACCCGACCCGACCCGGGCGTCGACCCGCTTTCTGACCGCGCGTGCCAGCCCCCTCCGAGCCGAGCCGAGCCGAGCCAAGCCTCCAAGCCACTCCCCCGAGCCGTTTCTCTTCCTTGAGCCGAGCCGAGCCGCGATCCGAGCCGCTCCAGGTTTTTATTTTTTATTTTTTTTTATTATTTCTTTGTTTATTTGTTTATTTTATTTTTTATTTTTTATTTATTAGATTAGGTTTATGTAATATTCCTTTTATTTATTTTTTATTATTTTATTTTCTTTAAATAAAAATAAAAAATTCTAAAAAAATATATTTTTGGGGAAAAGTTGAAAGTATCAATTTTCCTTAAAAGAAAAATAAATTTCCAAAATAAAAATATTTTTGGGGAAAAGTTGAAAGTATCAATTTTCCTTAGAAATAAATTTCCAAAAAATATTTTTGGGGAAAAGTTGAAAGTATCAATTTTCCTCAGAAGTAAATTTCAAAAAAAAATATTTTTAGGGAAAAGTTGAAAGTATCAATTTTCCTTAGAAATAAATTTCCAAAAAAAATATTTTTAGGGAAAAGTTGAAAGTATCAATTTTCCTTAAGAATAAATTTGAAAAAAAATATTTTTAGGGAAAAGTTGAAAGTATCAATTTTTCTTATAAATAAATTTTCAAAAAAAGGGTTTTTGAGGAAAAATTGAAAGTATCAATTTTCCTTGAAAATCGAAATTTCCAAAAAAATATTTTTGAGGAAAAGTTGAAAGTATCAATTTTCCCTAAAAAAAATCATTCTTTTCTTCCTTTCTATCTTAATTTTGATTTTGTTTTTTTCTTTAAATAATCCGACGACGGAGCCTCTGTAAGTGAAACAGTAGATAGGACGTGTAAGTTTAATCTTATAGATTAAAAATAATCATCTCTATTTTGGGAATATTGAATTATTTTATACAAAGAGGATGATAATCTTCCTTGTAATCCTATTCCTTTCAATTAGATATCAATCAAATATAATATAAAATAATTATTATACTATCAAATCTATCATCTTATACACTAAACATAACCTAGAAGTATTATTGTAAATATAATTTTTAATCACTTAAAATGGATAATAAACAAGTTATAGAGGAGACTTTTTGTTTATAGTCTTTTTATCCCACATAGCTTGAAAACCAATGTAAGGAAGAAAACTTTTAATAAATAGGCATGTCCCCTTCACTCTTGAGAGCTTAAGTCATTGGTTTGCAAAATCAATTTTTTAATTAATAGTTTATATTTGTTTATATATTTGTAAACATATTCATTTAATATTTATAAACAAATTCAATTCCAAACTAAGCTTAAATATTTTAATATCTAAACGAAGTAAATTTGAACATAGTGTAAAAATTTTTGACCAAACCCGATCAATCCCAAAAATAAATGAAAAAATAACAAATATAACAATAATTGTTCCTGTTCAATTTGTTTACAGCCCCCTAGCATATAACTTGGTGCAACATTTCCAATCTGTTTTGACTATACAAAACCCTAGAAAGCTAGCCATAAGCAGCACCAGATCTGGCAAGTGACAAGGCAAGCTTATCTTCCAATCTAAACTTAAATTAGCTGTGGAGGCAGCTGGTTTTGGTAGATAGACAGATGAAAGCTAGAAATGGGGGCTATTGCATATCTATAACAGGTTTGTGGGGCTTTTTTTTTTCTCTTCCAAAAGTGGAGGACCAGAGATAATAAATTAACTTCTGAGAACACTCAACATTTAACTTTTCTTCTTTCTCTCATTCAATGTATATTTTCTCATATCTTTTTTAAGGACCACAAACTATCTTTTCATTTCATGAAAAATTTCAAATGTGGGTCCTTTTTTAATCCTATTTTTTGAACCCGCTATTTCTTTCATCGTGACATTATCCTGTTGGATCTTGTGCAAAGTTGGCAAAGTACTCATCTACTTTGCTTGCTAATATATATAAATCCTTTTCTTTTTTCTCTATTGCAGCAGGTTTTTACAATCAATTCTATCCCAGAGTCCTATAGTTAAGTGTCTCCAGCATATTTTTCAAGAGGAGAATGATATAAGAAGTTTAATAATTACCAAAAGGGATTCCTTTTTATAAAGCAAAAAATGAAGCAGAATATAATGATAATGGCAACAAATTCACCAATGAACTTAAGCTGAAAACAAGCTCTATCTCTATCTGATCTAGCACTCTCTCTCTATCATTGAAAGATTGTTATGTTTGTCACAAGTTATGCACATAATCGAATTTCAGAACCAATGCAACATACTTTTAGAGCATTTCCATCCATTGACATAGCTCTAGAAATATAGTGCAATATGATCATTCTGCTGAAAAAAAACTAAGAACTATGAACACTTTCCAGTGTTGTGATCATATCTCACTAGTAACTATTCATGCAGCATCAAATATATTTCAATTATTTTTGCATGGCATTCAAATGAAACAAAAGTATGAAATCAAACACAAAACCTTTAATTGTTATCCCCTTAACTATTTCTTAATTGTCTGCTTCTCACTTCCAGGAAGTAGAATGCCTTAAAAGTATATGTAAATAGATTCAAACAGTACCTTTTTCCCTCTCCAGATCAGGAAAAATAGTTTGAGTCATGCACCGTGCACGTTATTCCGAAGGGAAATCCACAATTCATTCCTCATTACATTGCTTTCTTGTCATTTAGAAGGAAACTCCTGTTCCTTTTCTGGCTGACTTCCACTGTTGTTGTGAGAATGGGGAAGCCTAGGAGTCATACTCAAATGGAAGCTGGGTCTGATAGATTGGCTTAAGTAGGCTGGAGGGTTAAGAGAATTAGGCAAGAGATTTTGTGCACCCCGAGCTCAGCATCTGAAAATGATTAACTTGCTGTCTAGGATCAATCTCTAGAGAAGCTGTAGCATGAGGAGGAAATAAAGGCTGTGTTGCTCCTGGTGGACAAACCAATATTTGAGAACCAGGTGATAGAGATAATGTGGATGGCAATGGCACAACATTGAAATTATGTAGTTCTTCTGTGTGGGATGCAAATCCATGGCTTCCTAAATGTGATAAAGGAAAATTATTGGATGGTTCGAAATGATAGTAAGAACCATATGGCACCGAATTGTTTAACAATCCTGGAAAGGAAGAATGATTGGCTCTCTGTAAGATATTATCAGATGAATTAACTTGAGCTCCATGATGACCTTCACTGCCTTCTTGTTTTTCCTCTTCATTACTTTTGTTCCAGTTGTCTTTCTCATTGGTTGTTTCCCTTGAAACTTCTTTGGATTTAGACCTCCAAAATGCATCAGAACTCCAAAAGCTTGATGTTGATAACCCTTCAGCAGGATCTTCCCAATTAACACTACTAATGGTTTTAAGCCCTTCCTTGTTGGATTGGGAAGCACCAGCTTCTTGAGAAGTACTTAGAACCATATGATGGTTAAGGGCAAAGTTCCCTGGTGGTGGTAGTGGGAGTGGAGGGAGTTCATCAATTTCATGTTTAGCTGCATTAAGCAACCAATCAACAACCTTGCTAGGCTGATTAAGTCCAAGCCTATCTTGAAGATCATACAATTGAATAGCAGTAGGAACTGAAAGCCTCACCCTTCTGTCTCTCAATCCTCTTATGGTACAAACTTTACTATGCCTGTCTTTTCCTCCAAAGGCACGCGAAACACGTACGATTCGCGGATCCTTCAATCTCAACCATGGTGAAGAACTAGATGGACCTTGACTGACCTTGGTATCATTTGTGTTGCCTTCTTGTAGAGTGGGAGAATCTACTTCCTTTGAACTTGCAATCATCTTATGTCTCTCATTATTGAAGCCTAAGCAGCTGAAAAGGCCAGTTGAATTAATCCTTTCAGCTGCAGATCACTTGAATCTCAGTCAGAGTTCACTTGCCAAAAGCTTCCGTAGTTCCGGACAACTATCTGCTTCAAAATTGCAACAGAAGGAACAACAAAGACAGAAAGTTAATCAATTAATATAAATTAATAAAACACCTACTAAAACATACATCCTCGGGCTCAAACAAAACAGATCCCAATTTTTCATGAAAACAAAGAAAATTTCTTAAAACTGAAAAGAAAAACATGTTGAAAAATTTACTGTCAATTATAACTACTAATTCTGAAATTTAGAACAGTATATATATATATGTATATATGGTATAACCCTAAATTTCATATCCTTTTATCATGTAGAAGCTAATAAAGCTCAAACTTGGTTGCTTTTAGAGAAGAGAAAGCAAGAAATATTGAAAATATGAGGAAGTGAGGCTGATCTATAGGAATAGTACTAACTCATAGAGATCTGGTTTTGTACAGAAGAAAAAAAAAAGATCAGATTCTTTGACACAGTAAAAGTTGAAAAAAAATAATTAGGTATTTCTAAGAAATTTTTCAAATCAAGTGAACTTACAAAAAAAATCAAACATTTGATTATGCAGGGAGAACACACCTTGTCACTTTGTTGCTGGACTCAGCCAACCTGCATATATATTGAAAGATAAAACTTTTTTTGCTTTTACTTGTAAGTGAATAAAACTTATTAATGAAGTTCATCCATTTGAGAAAAGAAAGATGCTGGAACTGAACCTACCATGGTCCATGGAAGAATTGAAAAAAAGAAAAAAGCAATGGCAGGAGGGCCGCCACGTGGCACATTTCGCCATCTGTTGAATAAATGTGCTAGTCGATATCTTATCATTTCCTCCCCCTTCAAGCATATTAAGCAATCATTGCATCATTAGGGGCTTAATAATCTCCCATCTGCCGTAGGAACAAAAATATAGCAAGTAATCATCAAGTTGTGACTATGGAAGAACACATGGTTTTTGAATAAGTTAATGATAATCTGTCATAGCTGCACCAAAACAAAGTCTATAATGTAACTATATGGGGGACCATGCTGCACATTTAAAAAGTGATGAGGCATGCTTTATCGACAACTACAAAAGGCCTTGTGACTGAATACCTATCACATGGGGTAGATCAATGCACGCCTAGTATTAAGGAAGATGTTCATGTGAGCAAAAATTGGAAGCTGCAGAAAGCTCCAAAGCCTTTTTTTTTTTCTTCTATAACACAGTTTTTGTTAGATTTTATTGCATTGTTCCCACTGCCCACCTCTTTCAATTCAGGGTAAAATGTGTCAATAGTACATGTAAATGAACTGACTTTGTTAGTCTAATAATAAAACTCTTTTGCCTGTTGGCCATGCTTCACAAATCAGCGAAGTCTTCGCGTCGCTATCACAAAGTTAATGATGAAGATATTAGTAAAACTGATGTCTAAGCTATCTTTAAATCAAATAGGATATGTAGAAATGGGAGTACTTAATTGATAGTCAATGTTATCAGAAAAGATTAAAAGACAAAAGGAAAATCTACCGAGATAAGTCCTTTGATTGGTGCTTGATAAAACTTGTGGTCTATAGTCTTGAGGGGAATTGCCAATTTGATGTGTTTGATAGTTACTTCAGACATTAACAACTACCTTATAGGGTTGGGACCAATCTATATATCTCCATTAAAACATCCACTAGAATCGAAAATAGGACCACACAACTTTTCTGCAGAAGATATGCATGGAGGGCAAGCTATTGAAGTATTTGAATCTAACACTTGAGAAAAAAGAAAAAAAAAAACCTCAATGGAATTTCAATTCTTTAGTACTTAATTACTTAATCTCAATTCATTTAACCAAATAAGAAGAAATAGTGCCGTAGGCAAGTTTGGTTGCACATCTGGGAGAAATAGTTAGAGACTGTTTCAAAAAGAAAGAAAACAGCCTTTCACTTGTTCAAATGATTAGGTCTTAGAAACCATACATGTGTGGAGAATGTGGATCCCAGTTTGAAATATACCTACCATTTTCTCTATAGGTTCTAGTCTTTGCTGAAGGAACATGCAGGATTTCTATATACAGAAGTTAATTTCTACTGTATTTTGTGTGATTTGACAAGAAAAAAAATAGAAACCCTAGGTTGATATCCTATAGGGCTAGACCAAGAATGAATTGCAAAGCAGCTTTTCAATATTTGGATGGTGATTTTGTTTCTAATTCCATAGAAAAGTAAGCTGCAAAACTAGGAAGAAAACAAGAAAATTTTGAGTTTTTTTTCCTGGCCTTCAATTTTACTTCTTGAATAGACAAGAATTTTCCTTGGCAAAACACAATGGAAATACAAATTGCACCCTCATATGAAGATAAAAATGAGTTAGAAATTCTTCTTTTCTTCTTCCAGTACTTCAACTGCAAAAATTAAAACAGAATATACATCAACATGCAGGAAAATTTAACCTTACAATGCTATCCTCTCTGGTTTTTCTTTGACTAAGGGAAGTATATGTGAATCATTTAATTGATTTTAGGTTGCAGCACTCAACTGTCAGATTGATATCAGTAAATGAATGTAATATCAGTATTGTTGCGTGTATATACAAACAAATTAATTAAGCGAGGAAAATGGAAAAGACAGAATTAAACCTTTTTTTTTTTCTCATAATTAGTTTAAGTTAACTTGATAATATGAATTATGACATACCTTTTCCAAGCATAGAAAACAATCTGGATAATTACTGGATTGTGAAAATTAGGAATATTGGAAGCAACCAATTTTCTTTTCTGCTAAACAGCAATTACACCTGTTTTTTTCTCTTTGGAAAGTGGGAAAATGTAATATATTATATATATATATATATTTATGTGTGTGTGTGTGTGTGAAAAGAAAAAGCTCTCAAACCTCAAATACAACATGTTTCTGAAATAAACAACAATAAGCAGGAAAGAGTCACCCTGAAAAATCAAAATATATATATAAATTAAAGTGTATATATATATATATATGTGTCAGAAGGACTCTTCTATTTTTTTTAAGTACTTCTAAACCAATGCTTCTTTAATTTTTTTTCCTTAATCCACAAAGAGAGAGAATCCATTCACTGATGGTTTGCAGGGGAGAAAGCGATGGGAGAGAAACTTTTTAGGGTTTTGGTATTTCTTTCTCAAAACACACACACAATCTCTCTCTCTCTCTCTCTCTCTCTCTCTCTCTCTCTCTCTCTCTCTCTTTTGATTTTACTCTAAACAAGCAGTGGTGGGCATCTCAAGAAAGCTCAGCGGAAAGTTTCAAAAACTGTTCTGATTGACTGATTCAAAGCAATGGTACCATTATTGTCAAATAAATGGTCCCCAAAATCCAGACACTAAGTCCTTGTTCTTGTTCACCCTACAATTAATTATATAACTCCAACTTTGCCTATTTAATCTCATGAAAATTTCCCTTAATTAGTTATTGTTTTCATTATCATAAATATTAATGATTTCTTAATTTAATCTTTTCAACAAAAATTAAATAACTGCTAATGATTTACATGCATGTTTTGTGTTATCATTTTCATGGTGACATCATGAAACTCTTGGTTACAATTAAAATAAAAGCCTACATGCATAAAGATATATGTAGTACTGCTTGAAAGCAGGTAAAAAAGAATGTGCTCTTGATTCTTACAAACAAATTTACATTCAAAGCATTTTTGTTTTTGTGTTCTTAGATACCTTACTTTTTTATACAGAAAAGGGCTTAACATTTAGCTACCTTCATAAAATTGTGTTTAAAATCTGTGTTATTGAAGCTTGAAAATGTTTTCTTTTATGAAAATACAAGTACAAGAAATTATGGTGATAATCAAATATTACATCAATATAAGAAATTATTAAATTAAATTAAACAAATCAACAAACCAACATATAACCGAATAAATTCAACATAAAATTAAACAAACACAATAGGACTTGGACTGATACCTCAAAGTTGAAAATAGTTTTTTTTACAGCAATTTTCTTAATGCTTTTATACATTTTAATTAGTTTTGGAAACATATCTCAAATAGAAATTAATGCTTTTAAATGGAAGACAGTACTAACACAATAATACTATAATATCATATACTACTAAAGATTAGAACATCTATAACTAAAAATCCAATAACAACATATTTGTAAATTTTGTATCACATAATTAAATTTATTCTACTAATTAAAGACAAGTTTAATTAATGGCTTATTTTGGGAAGTTATAAGAGAGCAGTTTGCAAGTTTGATTTCCATTTTTTCCTGGGAACACCATAGCCGTTTAGACAAATAAAATATATATAAAGAAATAAAATAAATAGAAGGAACTTTTACAAGCTGTAATTTTTAATTAAAATCTCTGTAAAGTTTGGATTTTTATAGAAAGAAAGCTGTTGCTATTTCTTTCAGCTAATAATTAAATATTAGTAGCATCCTAATAAGACAAATTCTTGCCAAACTGATATCTGATGTATTTTAATATTTTATGCCCTAATTGAACATGCATATGCATCATGCACATGAGAGAGAGATATGGAAAAGTGTGAGATTCTAACTTGAAACTTTTTCCTTTAAGAAAAGATGTAGCTATATTAATTTAATATACACCTATATCACATATTAAATCAAAAGGGTACGAGACTGATCTTAAATTTAGCTCAATTGCAATCACTTTTATGAGCTGGAATCCTGCAAATATAACATTCAAATTTTAACATACAATTCATTCTTTTATCTCAAATTATAATCTCCTTTATAAAAATATATATAAGCCTTCAATACTTTCAATGCCCAAATTATTATTAACAAATGTAACACAATTAATTTTCTATATATACATTATGAAAATTTATTGTACTATCGCTTAGCATAAAAGGTATTTACATTAATTCATATATACACTTGTGGATGTATTCGACCAATTCATATATTAATTTATTGATTTTTCTTTACACATGATTGTATAAATTATATAATGTATATTAAAAGTTATTTAATTATAATTGTAATTTTTAACTTGTAAATGTAACTTTGTAAGAAAAAAAAATTGCACAAATATGTGTGTATGCACTTGTTTGTAATTGAATAATGTGGTGTTGAGTTTTAACTACTAAATTAAGAAGAGTAATTCAATATATATGTAATTTAGTAGATCATGGATGAGTAGATAAATGCCAAAAAAGAGTGCATCAAAGGAGGGAAAATTTAAGAAATTATTTTTTTTTTTACAAAGGAGGCCATAATTTGAGAATAAAAGAAAATGTTTCAAATGCTTAAATACAACATCTGACTGCATGAATTATCTGAGTTAATCTACGGACTCAAGAAACAAAATTTTAATAAATTAACAAAAATCCCTTAATTTGACTAAAGAACTGTATTATATAGATTTTACTGTACAGTAGTTATGTATTCCAATATTGCAACGTTCCTTCCTAAGGACTTGGAAAGGTCTAAAGGAAACACAAGAGTTTCATAGAAAGCTCTTTCTTCCTTCAGATATCAAGAAGTATGTGAAAAGGGAGAGCAGTGAATGCAACTAGAGTCTAGAATGATGAAAAAGAAGAAGACGCATAAAAATATAGAAAGAGCTGCAATTTTGTTTTATTTCATGGTAGAGAGGATGTTGCAGTTCACTTTCTCTGCAATTTTTTTTGCATTATTCACTGTTCACATTTAGGTATCTCTGCTTTCTGATTACCTTCTGCGGCTGCTCTCATTCATCACTTTTTTTCCTTCATTTTCTTTCCCTCTTCCTCCCTCTCTATCCTTTTTCATGGGCTAACAGGAGACATTATCACCTTACTGATCATCAACAGAAAAGAAATTAAGCAGCAATCCCGAGAACACCAAGAAAACAACTAATCATAAAAGAAAACACCCCAAAATTGTTAACCCACTACACATCTCACCATCCCCCAAAAAAATTAAGAACTATCTGTCATGTGGGCAGTTTTCCTACCCAATAACCTCCGCAGCTCCCTTTTTTTTCCCCTCTGTCGCTCTCTCTTTTTCTGCCATAAATCAATGATGGTATAGAGATACTGAAACATAATTACGGTAGGCGATGGTGATAGTAAGCTGCCGGTGAGACAGATAATTTTGAAGAAACAGTCTAGTGGATCAGTACTACTACTACTACTGTGTACTAACTTCATGATCAAACATATCCAATCCATAATTTTTTTTCCTGAATCATTATTGAAACTCAATGTAATGTAGTGCAATCAATGTTTTTCAGACTGATTCAATGAATGATAATTAAAGAAGCTATATGTATCAAAAATGGCTATAAAGGAATAAAGATAAACCCATTTTCGTCATCTTATTACTTCTTTTTCGGGGTTGTAAAAAGCTTGCCATGTCTCTCTGGCCTTGTTGCAATTAATAACAGTAAGCAGTTTTTCATCAAAAGAAAGGGAAAGAAATTAAAGTGTTACATCCTTTTAGGCTTTTCCCTACACACTAGATTGAGTTATTGGATGAAAAAGAGAAAACATTGAAACAATTTGTTAAAAAAAAAAAAAAACATGCATATAGCTAAGCAGACACCAACAAAAATATGCATGCGTGCGCGTGAATGCACAAAAGCAAGAGAGGATTTTAGAATAAAGAAGCACATTTCATTAAACAAAGTCTAAGCAATGTAATGCTATTATAGGGTAGTATAGAATATTATTATATTAGCTATTTTATAGACTTCATATTATATTTATTTGAGTCTATTATAATTTTGATAGAGGTGGTATGAAGAAAATGTTAATTTAAAGTTCAATTGGACCTTAATTATTTTAA